CAGAAGGGCATTCACCGGCACCCACACATGACCCATCCAGCGGTTGTCGTGGCGGAGCCCAGCGGTTCGGGCCGTCCGCACGGCGTCGTGAGAAACATACATCACGCGGTTCCGGAAAACCACAAAAGAGAGTTGCTGTGTGGAGGTATTCAAAAAAGAACAAAACGCTTCCAGGCGGAAAAAATTTCCTCATCCCAATGCGCCCTCTCAAATACATCTGCTTCACCTCACTCAGCCCACCCCTCACACTGTACATCACACTACGTCCCATCAATAAGATTCCAACGTCATCCCACACCATACATCTCATTTTCATCGTGTTACAAAGAAAAGCTACCGGGATAGAAGAGAATCCCCCCCTGGGCACACCAAACAAAAATAAAGAAGCCATTCTCCTTTTTGCTTTCGTCACAACGTATACTACATGATTTCACCAACAACACATCATAGCGCCTGCCAATTGCAAACACCAGAGACACAAAAGAAGCCGTCTACTAAGTCAAACATCAACCACGGCAGAACATGTATCACGTTAAAAAAAACACAATACACATGTATCAATCAAATATATATATATATATATACGGAAAAATATTCCGCCCCTGTCTCACAGCATAAGAGCCAAGCTTACATAAACGTTCTACCTAACACTCCACACTAGCACCCCTAATACTGTCGCAACCCACAGAAAGGGCGTCCCGCCCACGCTTTTGGCGACGTATTTCAGCAGACCTTGACTTACGAGCCAAAGAATAAACTTGACGTTTTCTCAACTCTTCTTCCTCCAACCTTTGTCTCCGAATCAGAGCCCTTTTTGCCTCAGTCTGCACAGCATCCTCGATCCAAGCATTAAAATCATCGGTAGCCCTCTTCCTTGCCTCCAAACTCCTAATACGCATTTGTTCACGACGGGACCTAGACATTTCGCGGCGTTCCTTCGCCAGTTCCGCTAGGCGGCGCTCCTCCTCCTCACGCTTCTTCTGAGCAGCCTGGCGCTCCTCTTCCAGCAGCCGCTTCGTCTCCTCGGCCTCCTTCGCCTTCCTCTCCCTCTCCTGCTCCAGCTTCCTCCGGCCCTCCTCGGTCTCCTCCTTGACCTTCTCAACGCGTGCCTTCTTCTCCTCGGCCTCGGCACGGCGGGCCTCGGCAAGCAGCTCCTCCGTCTCGGCCTGCAGCTGCTCCTTGGTCTTCCGGCGGTCCTCCTGCTGCTGCTTCTGCAGATCCTCCCTGCGGGCCTTCGACCCCTCCCGCCGCTGCTTCGTCAGTTCCGCTAGGCGGCGCTCCTCCTCCTCACGCTTCTTCTGAGCAGCCTGGCGCTCCTCTTCCAGCAGCCGCTTCGTCTCCTCGGCCTCCTTCGCCTTCCTCTCTCTCTCCTGCTCCAGCTTCCTCCGGNGCTTCCTCCGGCCCTCCTCGGTCTCCTCCTTGACCTTCTCAACGCGTGCCTTCTTCTCCTCGGCCTCGGCACGGCGGGCCTCGGCAAGAAGCTGTTGATTTTTTGCTTGTAATTCTTCGACAGCACGCCTTTTTGCCTTGATTTGCGTAGACCGCACGTAATTCCTCTGAGACTTCCCGTCTTTCCGTTGTCGTTGTGCTTGCTGGGCTTTTTGTTGTTCCTCGTTTACATTTTTGGTGAGTGCTGCTAAGAGTTCTTGCTCCAGCTGTTTTTTTCGCCGTGCAGCTTCTCTTATTCTTCTTTGTTTGTCGCGCTCCATTTCTTTTTTTGCCGCTTCTTCCTCTTGTTTTATCCTTATTGCTGTTCTTCGTGCTCGTTCCAAATCTGCTTGACGAGCCTCGATGATGTAACGTCGTAGCACATTCTCTCGTTTGTGATCAAGGGAATTATTGACGTTATTTTGATGTGATTCAATCATTGCGAATAAGAGGAGTGTATCCGCCGATGGATGTTTGTTCTCTGTGTTCCTTGTTGTTTTTACCGTATACAACCATTAATGCAGCTAGCGCGCTGCTCAAAGTGTACAGTGAATAATGGAGCTAACGTATTGTTTACCTTTCGTCCTTCCTTTGGTATAAGCGAAACAATAGGGTGAGAATTAATATCGGCGTGGAAAGCACGACGGCTGGGCCACGCGAACCACCAAAAAAAAAATATTTTACGTGGGAAGATGTAGGGAGCATAAACAGAGAAAAATAATGATGCTATTCGCCTTCCGCTCTCATTAGTCGGTGGTGCTAATGGGTGCTGTGTTAACGAAGCTTCGTGAAGCCAATGTGCTCAGCGTTCTCACGGAAGCACTGGCGGCACACGTTGAGCTCGTACTTGCGGATGAGAGCCTTCTGGTTGGAGCAGATGACGCAGTGGCGTGCGCCCTTGCCCATGCCGATCTTTTGCCGGGAACGCCATTGGTCGAGGTGGCCCATCGCTTGCTTGTGGATGTGGCGACGCTAAGAGAGCAACTCAGGCACTGCACCAAACATGCATGCACAACGGAAGAGAATAGATAAAAAACAGGTGCACACCACTGGGGGCAGAGACACACAGGCAAGATTTGTCTGTGAAACGAGAGAAAATGCGGAGTGGAAGGCATAATGGTGAACGAAGCTTAATCACATCCCCTCTGTTCTGCCCGTCTTTCGTCACGCCACCTACAGGTGATCTTTCTTGCTGACGCATTCCCCTCCGGGAGATATTTTGTGCATCGCAGAACGCTCCCTCATTCCCGACCCCTCACCATATCTTTCTTACCTTTTATCACTCACCCCCCACGAGGTTGCGCCGGTTAACGTATCTCTCTGTTGCCCCTCAACAAAAATCGTTAGCCTTCAGTCGTATTGTTCCATGAGCAGGAGCAACAGAGCGCGGTACCCCACGAGCGACGCGGTGCTCTCGGCCGCACCCGTCACAGGGTTCAGCGCTTCCGCCATCGTGTGGGAGCCGCCGGCCGCCTCCACCACCGAGAGCCGCAGCCGCTGGAAGAGCTCCTCCGCAGGCGCCCCAAGACGGGCGACGTACTTCGACCGCAGCGTGTGCAGCAGAAGGGCATTCACCGGCACCCACACATGACCCATCCAGCGGTTGTCGTGGCGGAGCCCAGCGGTTCGGGCCGTCCGCACGGCGTCGTATGAAACAGACATCACACCGTATGGCGTCATGAGATCTGACTTGATAAGGTCAAGAACTGTGTGTGCACGCGCATTGTCGTCGAGGAGGCCAAGGATAAATGGGTAGAGGTTGGCGTACCCCACGTATGGCGAGAAGGGTCTACCTGGGCAGCCAACGCGATCGGCGTAGCGCTGATTGTCTGAATCCCAATGTGCCTCGTCTAACCATTTTATCCACAGGTGCTTAGGGATACTCTCGGCAAGACCAAGGTGCCGTTCGATATCACTAATGGTTGTGCTCAGCAGCGCCACCCAGGAAAATAGGTCCACGTGGGCCTCCTTTGTGTGGTGGCCGTCACATACAGGTCGGGGATAATCGGGCATACCGCTAGTCGTGATGCGGTAGTCGTCACGTGAACGCCACCGGTACATTGGCGGCGCGTGGGCTCCATCCCCCTCTGCCGATGCTGATGCGCCACCAGTAGAGGCAACAGCGAGAGCTTCTAGGCTTGCTGGATTACTGCTGGAGCTCTGTGTCGTGTGGAACCATGTCCGCCAGCGACGCAGAGGTGGAAGTACCATCTCGAAGAAGGCCTTCTGAGTGGTACCACCTTGGTCCTCACGGAGCAGTTCACGGATAGGAAGCAGGATTGTTGGAGCCTCTGTGAATGTAAGATGTTCGTACCGCGCAGATGGCACAGTAAATGAACGGGATTCCTGGGTGAAAACTGCTCGTCGTGGAATAAAACCATCACTCTGATTTTGTGTATCCACAAGCCAAGATGCAATGGACTCTTTTACCCACTCCTTGTTCCATCGAAGCATGAACAGAAGTTGCATCCCTGTTAGTGTCAGATCACCGTGGGTCACGTCTACACGTGAGGGAACAGCCCCGAACGCTGAAACGTCGTACGTCGCTTCCTGCAGTTGGTCATCAGACTGCACTGCTGCTGCTTTTCCTTGATTATCCCACAATGCATCAATGTTCGGGTTCGCGTACAGGTAGCGCCCACGCCAGAACCCCCACGAGCCTAGTGCACCGCTGAGTACACGACGTGCCCTGTTGATGTACAACTTGCGATGAGCACGGAAGCCATTTGCTCCTGACGAAACCATCTGACGCATGCGCTGCAGAACCCCTTTCTCCCGCTGACGAAAGGCGTTTGTGAGTTGGCACGTCGTCAGTGCGTCATAGGTCGGCACAAAGGAGTGGTGTGCTGTTGCGTCCTGGCCGTCCACGATAAGATGTGAAGCATGACGCATCGAAAGCTCAATCCGAAAGTCTGATTCGTAACGCTTACGGAACACCATCACGTTATGTGCAGCCGTGCCGCTCGGGGGGCCTTTCCAGTGCTCTCCACCAACATGCTCGCTGGCGTACAGGTGCGCGCTTGAAGGCACGCTGCGGAGGTCAACGTCGCGTAGGAACTCACCGGCAGCAGCGTGCCAGCCGTGCGCCTTCCAGAGTGGCGGTGTGAAGAACGGGTTGTGGTCGTCGCGCAGGAGTAATGTGAATCCCTCGCGTCGTCCTTCAGCGTCTTCATACTCACTCCTAATCTGAGGGTTCCATGAGCTGTCTCCTGCGTCCGCTGCTGCTTCGGGCTCGATGCCGTCGCCGCCCTCGTTCACCACATACACGACGAATACCATCGGTTTTGCTCCATCCATTTGGCTGTGCACGCGCAGGTGCCACGTGTCCCCTGATGGGCTCTTCAAGAACTCAATGTTTACTTTGCAGATGCCGTCCCGCACATACTGGCGGCCATAATGAACTCCGTCGTGCACCGTCCACCACGCCTCGAAGTCGCTCGACTTCTCGTCGGAAATAACTTCCTCGTTCGTGTCATCTCGGCGCCCCTCTAGCGACAGCACATCTGCCATCTTGTGCCGCACAGGGCGCATCCCAGCCTCGTCGTACCACCCAATGCCAATGTACACTGGCTTCGGTGTACGCGTTTTCATTGCAAAGAGCAAGCCTGGTTCGTATGTTCCCCACATCATCGTCTTGTTGTATTCAAGTGATGGAAAGCGCGGTGGTGACGCCTCGTAGCGGTGGTATCCGTCCTCCATCGCACGCACTGTGGCATCACCCCAGAGCTTCTCAACAGCCCGACACTGCAGCCGCTGCACCACGAAGAATGGGGTAAAGCTATAGATCATCCACAGCGGGACCCCGAGGACGACAAGAAAGAAGAGTACACGGAGAAGGATTTCCTTGAATGTCAGGCGCGGGATTTGCTCCTTACGTGCGCGTGAACGCCTCTTGCTGTCTGCGGCAATGGGGGCCATCGCATCCCTGTCGTCGCCCCTGCGCCCCAGAAGAGAACGCCTGTCACGCATGTAGGACAGCAGCCCCTGCGTAGATGCCTTATATGAACTCTCTGCGGGAAGGAAGAAGGATTCACGCAACGCGAAAACGAAAAAAACGAGCGAAAGAGAGAGAGAGAGAGAGAAAGAAAGAAAGAGAGCAAGTGTGTATGTGTGTGTATATGTAGGTGTGTCTGGGTGTATGCCTGGATATAATGGTCAACATGACTATCATATTTTTTTTATGTATCATCTCGCATTACCCCCAATAAGGGCATACAACGATGCATTCACGTGGCGCGATATTCAGCGCGAAGCATCTGGCGTGAGCGCGCCAACGCCTCGTCTCGTCGAGGCGAGCAGCAAGGGAAGCAGTGAAGCGATACGGCGGCGGCAGTGGCGTTCCCAGCGCGGTGGTCACGGAGAGATACATTAAAACGGTAAAAAAAACGACGTCAATGGGAGAACTGTCATTCTTGTCAGAAGTAGGCCCCACACCAATTAGGACGCCACGCCAACTCGACTCGGCAGTGAGCCCCGGCGTCCGTGTTCCCCGCCGCAGCGACAGGGACAAAAAGGGGGGGAAGACAAGTGAATCAGTCGCTCCACCTGCAAGTGGACGGCGTTGGGCAGTGCCACGGTTGACCCTCTGCGTCTGCGTCTGTGTGTGTGTGTGTATTTGGCAACGACATCGTGCGTTCGCGCAGCACATGCGCTACCGCTTGGACGAAGAGTGGGTTTCTGATTTGCCCCGTGATCATCGTTGGCGGAGAGGCGAAGCAACCCCGCGAGATGCGCAGGCTTCGCCTTGTTTAGCTCCTGCGGCTGAGCAAGAAGATGCCGCGCCGCTCTCTGCTACGACTGCTCCCCAGATGCAGTGCGACGGCGTGGTAATTGTACGAACCCGCCATTAGGCGTAGCAGGCGGTGAAGTAGCGTTATTAGAGGGCACTGCCAGGCGGTTTCCTAGTTGCTTGTATCAGCACAACGCGTTCCGCATCGCCCACGCGATCTTGTCAGCAATCAAAAGTCAACGAAAAGATAGGTGTAGCCAAATCAACCAGAGACAATAATGTGGAAAGTGAAATGGGTCACCGAAGAGACACCAATCCCAATTAAGTGAGAGACACATACGTAAAGGGGGAAAGGAGTGCATCTACAATCGCCATGGCTCGGAAATGCCGTCAACCATCTTTCCCACTGTAATATATATATATATATATATATTACACTCTCTCACCTCGCCCCCGTGGCCATCAGTAGACAGACGGACTGAAGACTCTGCGGCGCGGTGGTGGTGCCGTCTGACTTCGAGGAGAATCAGCCTTCAGGTATCCCGCCCTGTTGGCTCGCGGGCTGCCGCGCCGGTGGCTTGGTGGCGGCGGTGAGTGCGCCACCGACCCTTCATATGTCGATTCGTCCAAACTCTCACTCCATGTGTCAAGGGTATTTGGTGGGTGGGGCACAAACCGTTTTTTCTTCACCCACTCAGGTGAAGAAGCAGCACCCTTACTGGCGCCAATGCCATCAATAACAAAAGCAGCAGCATCAGCGGCAGATACATAAGGGTTGTCGCCCTGTTCCCTTCGCCAATCGCTGCCTCCAATTCGCCGCATCGCCTGATTGCCCCCATGTGGTGGCGCCACAATCCTCTCTGGTTTGGATTCACGCCGGACGGTTTCGCCGTACAAAGACGGCAGATTTCCCGACGTAGGTGGTGGCGTGTCCACCGCAGGCTGGAAGCGGCGACCACTGCCAGCAGAAGGAATATACATCTCCGTCTCCTTGTCAGAGCACCCTCGTGGAAAGAGGGTACCCGCGATGTTTGTCCCCAGGGGAACTTGCGGCTGCAACTGGGAGGTCTGAGGAGCCCCAGTGACGACATCAACCAGCTCCCTCTCTACCAGTTTCAGGCGCGCCTCATACTTTTGCACGGTTTGTCGATGAGCTTCAATCTCCGTTGACAGCCGCCGCGCCAACGTCTCACGGCTTGTTGCGCAGCTCCGCATCAATTCTTGCAAGTCACGCTGAAACCCCGCCAACAGCTGTTCTACACTACTCATTCCATTCGTTTGTGCAGTGGCGCGCGTGGATGCCGCACCACCAAGAAGGCGACGCACATCCTCCAGCGCGCGGTGGCAAGCACGCAGCACGTCGCACGCCTCCAATAGGCCACCCTGGCGCTGGCCCATACCTGCTGCTGCTGCTGCTGCTGCTTCTACCGCATCCACATCGCACGAGGAAGAAGACATTAACTCTATATAATTATTCGCATCGCCATAACAGCTTTGTGTCGTCTGAATGCCACTTCTCTGTGACTGCAGCGAGTAAAGCGGAGGACGATCAGAAGTATTGCACATGATTGCATGTGTCTTCTTCGCGGCGTTGTTGTTGTTGTTGTTGTGTAAATTCCTCCACGTCTGCAGTCGCTCTCTAGACGCGACGTGTGAAGGATCAAAATGACAGTTGTACACTAACCGTGCTGCCCTTTCAACCGCCTGTTGTATGTCTACGATAAAGTTTGTGGTCTGATCGATCGCCACGAGGCGCTCCGCCTGCTCTAGCTTCCATTGCGCCTCATCGCTCTGCATGCAGTCGGCCACCCTGATTATCAACGCGCTCAGGGTACCTGGGTGAATGCCGTCGTCCATCTGCCACTCCTCATTTTCCCCAGGGGTGTATCCTTTACACTTCTTCAGTAGTTTTACAAGCGCATCGCGCAGAAACCGACGCTCCTCCTCCTGTGTTCGCAAGAGAAAATGAATCTCTGCGCACTCCGACAGTTGCCGGTCCCGCACGAGGCAGACAAGACGGCTGGCCAATTGCTCGCAGCGTCGCTCGAGGCGTGCAACGTGCGCCGCATCAGCACCAGGGTCGCCTCGTCGAGTATTTTTCGGCTTATATAAGATAATCTGTGCTAGCCGCTCTACCTCCAGATGCGCCTGCTGCACTTGACGGCGCAAAGCATCATTTTCGAGCTGCAGCACGTGTGTGTACGCCTTTTCAGTCGTGGCATTTGATGCCGACATGCCACCCTGTTGTGTGGACCCTCTTTCCTCCTGTTGTGAGGACAAATGCAGCCCCTGCTGTGCCCGGGCACACGCCTCACACGCCACCCGGTACCCCACCTCCTTGGCTGCAGAGCACTGCCGTTGCGCCAGAAGCAACACGGTTTTTTTTTACAAAAAAAAAACAAGAATAATAACAACAAACAGAAAAGAAAGACGCAGTAAGTAAGTGGAGTGGAAAATTCACTATCGACCAGTACTCTCTCTATCTTCCATGTACCTGAGTGCCATCATTATTGTTGGCGTTGATGCTTTCAGGTCAACAGAATATATATATATCATAGTCACGTTAATACTACATGGGTAGAACAGCAACGTGGAACTCCCTTACCGGACGTTGTGGTAGGCCGATATTTTTTTTTCTTGTTCGTATCGTGTTGTTTACTTCTCGGTGAGGAAATACAAAAAAAAAATTAAAAATAAACGATTTGTCAGGAATAGCAGTGTGATTTTCTCTCTCACCACCTCTACCGCCTACATACACACACACACGACAACCCCTTTTTTTCATCATAGCACCATCTTACCCCATGGCCAACGCACATTCCACCGTCGGCCCACTTTGAGCGCAATGTCGCGGAGGCGTTCGCTGATCATGTCAGCGACGGCCTCCTCTGAGTATGTGCTCACAATGTCCTGGCGTGCACGTCGCCCGACCGCCCGTGCGTGCTCCGGGTGTGTGGCGACGTACACCATCAGCTTTGCAGTCCCGTCAATGCTCGGGAGAGCCCACTTACGTCCCTTCATGTGACCGTATGTAACGTCCTCAACAACGTCCTCGAGACCGTCCACTGGAATAAGGAAAGAGTTCTCACGTGTTGCAAAGGCGGTGGAACCGCCCCAGTTGGTGGTGAGCACCGGCAGACCCATCGACATCGCCTCCATCGCCGGCATACCCCACCCCTCCCCACGCGTCGGCAGTACAAAAGCGTCAGCGCTGCGGTACAATCGGTATACGTCCTCATTTCGCAGGGTGGGGTTGTAGATGATGACAAGATGCGGAAACTGCCTCATTGACGTAAAATTAGGCAACCGGGCAACATCTGTGGCCCATTGAGTGAGTTTCTGTTCAATATTGTTTATTCTCTGGCCATCTGAATGGTTCGTGACAAAACTGAGCTTAATGTAGAGGCTCACATTTTCATGCAAAGGGGTACCGGGGCCAAAGGCTTTCCAGTAAGACGATAGTAGCACATCCCAGCCTTTTCGCATCTCCCACTTGAAGATGCTAAGGAAGCGATACCGGCGCTTCATGTTAGTCGTTCTAACCTCATGTGGCCTATTTGTCCAGTATTTTGTCCATTTGCTGTCAATCTTCAGCAATGCCAGCTCTGGGAGATCATCGAAGGGTGCATAAAGATCGGGGTTGATCAGATACGGATCAAGGGACTCTGGCACCACATATATCAGTTCTTCACGCACACCCGAACGTTTATAAATCTCCTTGAAAAAGTTACATGTCACCCAAAGCTCATCGACATACAAGTTAATGTTTTTAGCCTCGTAGGCACGCAACCTTGAGGTTTCAGTGAGGATGCGAGCCACCCCATAGTCTGATGTGTATTCCTTATTACCCAAGGAGTCAACATACCTTGGGGAGTTGTGCAGGAAGGTAATGCGCACGACCGGACTCTTGTCTGTTAGTGTGTGCGTTGCGGTCTCAATGCTTGTGCCGACAGGAGGCTCTCGCATCTCTTTAAGCTCTTCTTGTGGCTGCTGCTGCTGCTGCTGCTGGCGCCACGCCCCAAGATATCCCCAGCGGTTGACCCCCATCTGTGTGCGATAGAGCGCATCCATTGCACCCTGTGGTGAACCTGGGCACCAGAGCGAGCGGAATCCCCAGAAGGAAACCATCACACGCCGTTGTAGTGGCACAATATAATGCATTCCTTCAATCATCATCCCAGAGCAGCGTACAACTCCATAGTTGGACAAGACGCGCAATTCAATAAGCGGAGCCTTGCGGTACTCTGTCTCAGATGTAGAATTGTTCAGTGGTTGTGATTGCTGTACACTCAAACGATTTCGGAACAGTCTTCCTGCAAAGGCCCCCCACTCTCGCGCAAAATCCCCTGTCATCACGAAAGAAGGCGCATAGTAACTAAGGACCTGCTGATCTACGGTTTGAGGAATGACACGAATTGGCGGTTGTATCCCCCAGTGTCTGGCCACAAGTTGCATTGGGGTTGTCCACGCAACGGCCATCGCTGTGCTGCTCCACAGCTGCCATTCAGGGAAAGCCAACTGCAGTCTAAAGGAGAGCTCCCATCCGGCAAAATCATCCGCCTGAAGGACGTCCGGCCAGAGTGTGGGAAAATTGTTTTCTAACCGCCACCATTTCACTATGAAATGGTCGTTTTCCGGATCATCAGGAGGTGGTGTCTCCCGCACCAGTGACCATCCCCTTGTCCCAGGCATGGCCGACGAGTACTGCCGCACTGACGGCGCGAATCCACCCACCGCATCGAAAGCCCCTCGATGCCACAAGCTGCAGAAGGGCGACACTGCGTCGATAGGCTCCTCCAAGAGCCGCACTCGCTCATCTAGTGCGCTGTAACCATTGAGTCGACGTGTGAAAAACTGGCCTCTGACACTGCTATTCCAGTTGGTGCCGTAGCCCACGAAGGCGCCCTTGTCCAAAGCTACATATCCGGAGAGATGTGTGCTGTTGCGCTCGTGCTCATCAAGGTGGAGAAAGAGTGGAGTCACCGGCACCCCCGCAGAGAAAGAATTCCATGCCTCTGTATCAGCACCGGCTGCTGCTGCTGCTGCTGCTTCCTCACCGTGCGTGCCATCTGCACCTTTCGAAGCAGAACGGCGCGCAAGAATGGTGCACTGCACAGCCGCCACACGTCCTTTGTTGTGACGCCTGACCGACAAGAGTCGCTGCATGAAACCGTGATGCCCAAACCGTTCTTTGTATCGCAAATTCTCCGCCAACACGACGGGTAGCAAGAAGTCTGCAATAATCAAAAAGTACTCTGTGTGGTACGGAAGAGCTGAGAGGCCGACCTTCACATACCTATCGAGTGCGTCGTAGCCGCCAAGAGAAGCGTGAGGTTCTGTGGACACAGCAACGAGAGCGACCTCACGCACACAACTCTGCTCCGTAGAGACGGTATCAGTGAAACGCCACGCGTGCCATGACCCCTCAGCTGCAATATCGAGAATCCCGCCTCCTTCCGACAACTGTCTCTCGGGAAATTCTTTTACCAATGCCGGCATAGCCCTCCCAATTCTGTTTGTCGCATCCGTGTCCAGTCTTTCCATCTGCACCACAACGACGCTCACCTGATACGGACCAGACTGGGCTTCAACCCCTGCACACACCACATCAGAGAGCGCTGCTGAAGGATTGAGCCACTCCCGGAGTGTTTTCTCCGCATCCATAACCGTGGGCAAAAGCAGCGTGATTTTCGTGGGAGCGTTATCATCATCGTCCCCAATTTCTCTCGGCATGTTTTTGTCTATCGCCCCATGTGGGATGCAGAGCACGAAAGCGCACAACGAGAGCAGGAGCAGCAGCACGGCAAGCATGAAGGTCTTTCGGTTCGTTCGCATCGGTTTGGGAAAAGTGACGAGGAGGTCACCCTCCTCTGGCGGCGCCGGGTAAAACCTTCTCCGCATATGTCTCTTACGCATGGGAAACGGGAAAGGAAACAGCATCACGCACATCACAATTCCGTCCTTAGCGCAATCGAGAGCAAGATCTTTCACACCCGCAGAGACACGCACACACACACACACACCTAAACACAGCGCTCCACACCCTCACTAGCACCGCTCGCTGCGGATACCTTCACGGTTCGCGGGGAGCCACTGCAACCGCAAGCAGCTGCAACGGAGAAACAGCTGAAAAAAAAAAGCATACAGAGATCAAAACGGATAATTCAAGCAAAAATGAAAGAAGCAAGAAAGTTTCCTCAAGGAAACTTTACGCTGCGGAGCTTCGAGCGCCACTCCTTTTCCACGTCCCTCGTGATGTCGATCCACGACTCGCCCTTTGTGCCCTCCTGGCATCGTGTAAAACCGAGACGGGTGTAGAAGTCTTGCGTATTCTCTTCTGCCGCCGCTCTCGCCGCGGCAGGGCCCGTTGCCGTTGCGAAAACACCACTACAGCTCAGCGGCGCGTATCTGCTGCGTTGCTTCCCTGACGACGGCAGCGCAAGGGGCGAGCGCGCGTCGCCTACAAGTGCAGCGCGCAGCAGCACTCCCGCGTAGAGTGTTTTCTCGTCGGCGCTCCATATCTCCTGCATGATCACCATGCGTCCGTCGCGCGGCGGGGCGTCCCCACCGCTTGTAGCTGGTGAGCGCGCAGCACCACCACCAGCAGCAGTAGCGTCAGTGCCCTCGAACTGCAGCAGCTGCACCGTCACGAGGTACCGCCGGCACGGCGGCATCTCCCGCACGTATTGTACATTGGCGGAGGCTACCACGAAGCTTGCATTCGCTTCCCGAAGCGTCGTCGCCAGCCCAGCGTATCCGGCGTGGTGCCAGCGGGCAAGTTCAAAAATCTCAAGATATCTGGCGTTGTTAATGTGACCAAACATATCAGCCATCCGAAGCCCGGCGTAAACAAATGCACGATGCTTCTTGAAGGGTTCAATGACCGCCTTTGGATTGGCACGCAGCACCTGGTGCCGCTGGTAGACACCGTACATGGTGTACGCAATGTTACGGAGCGACATCAGGACCACCATGGCTCCTGAACAAAACCAAAACTAGTGTGAGGGTGTGAGAAAGAATGGGAATAAATAATATATATATATATATATATAATAATAATAAAAGCAGGCATGAAAGCCGGCCATGGAGGTTGGAGGAAAAAAAACAGATGTTTTCTTGTTGTTCTTTTCGTCGTCGTCGTCATTGTGTTCCATCGGTCTCCCCACCTCTCCACCCCCACCCTTTACGGTGACGGAATGGAGACACCGCCATCCCTATAGCGCTTCGTCCACGTCGCGCTGAGCTCATCGTAATCGTGCGCCTCGCGTCGCTGCGCCGGTTCGTCCCTGTCGCCAAACATGACGCGGCCGAGCCACGGCTTGTTTTCTGGCAGAAGAGCGTTGTTGATACCCTTGAGTACAAAGTCCATCGCCTGCTCCGACAGCTCCCCTTGTTCTTCACACTCCTCGCGGAAGCGCTGTGCCCAGCCCTCCTCCTCGAGCCGCTGCAGCGAGTACAACATGGCGTAGTACGCCTCCATGTTCATCGCCACATGGCAGCGCCGCATCGCGTAGAAGACAGCAAGCGCCTCCGTGAAGGAGTCGGTGCGGGCGAAGAGATGCTGAATTGTGCGCACTGACAGCTCCCTGTTGTTGCGCCCCGCGAGGTGCATAAGTCGCTCCAAGTCGTCGGTGCTTTTCGCGGCGGCGGCACCGAGCGGCACGCAGAGCAACAGCAAGCGATCAAAAGCGTCACCAAGGCCACGACTCACATCCTCCTCGCGCGGAGTCGCAGGATCCAGCTTGTACTTCGCCATCAGCGCAGCAACACGCGNCACACGCTGCTCCGCATCTGACGCCGCCGAAGCAGTTGCCATCCACAACTCGTGAATCTCCCGTCGAGCTTCCGAGGCCGTCTCCATGACGTTTTGTGCATTGCTCATGGACGCCGTTGAAGATGTGGCGGACGCCGATGTCCTGGCGCCCTCGCCTTGAGTTGTTGCTGTTGCTGCTGTTGACGATGTGGATGCTGATGATGGGTTGTTGTTGCTGAAAGTGGCCTCCCAGCGGCGTCCGTATTTCAGCAACTCCATCTGCATGGATGCACCCACCATGACGCAGAAACGACGCATAGCGGCGGACTCCTAGACTACGTGTATTCAGGGAATATTCCCTTACGTGCGTAAGCTGATGAGAAAGGCGGAGCCTAGAGAAGTAGGAAGAGGACGTGTAGCTCGCACCACAAAGAGAGAAGGTTCCGTAGTCCGCTTCGCACAGCATGCGTACAAAAGGGAAGGGGAAGGAAGGGGGCGACGGGAAGGCAAAACAATCGGAAAATTGCAAGTTGTGGCATTCCCACAGCATCTTTATGTTCGCGGTTCTAGTGAAATCCACCACCATGAACGAGTCGCAGTCCCCGCGCCCCACTCTCACGCAATCCAGCCACTCGCCTTCCCTCCGCATATCTCCCTATATATTTCTGTTTCCCTCTTCAATCACCTCACTTCGACTCTTAAACAGCATTTACCATTTTCCTTTAATGATCGCATACTATATTTGTTCTTGCTTCTTGTCTCATTCCTTTCCCTGACGTTTTTTTTGGGGGGGCTTCTTGCTCTCTCTCTCTCTCTCTTTCTCTCTCTCTCTCTTTCTCTTTCTCGCTTTCCATCTCTTTTTTTCTTCATGAGTTTGAGCTCTTTTTTGTTGTTGCGATCTTGCATTCGGCCCTCCACATTATTGTTGCAGTGTTGCAAGTAATTCTCGCGCAGCCACGAAAGAAGCTGACGCTAGATAACAGCGGGCTCCGGGGCCCTGCGGCGATGTGAGGAAAAAAAAAAACCATCCATAAGACCCCATAAACGACTTCCTGTAGTCTGATGAGAAGCAGGTCGTCTGCACCGTAGGGTTTTTTTTGGATAATTTGCGCTTTAAAACTGCATGGGTGGCGGGCCGGCGCTCAGCCACGGGATACGCTCCACCACACCCCCAAGCAGCGTGTAAATGTGTGGAAGGATCAGAACGCGCAGTGGGAACAAAATGGTGTAAAGACTGTAGACTGTCAAGCCACTCGTGACTGCCTTTTCCCAAAAGGCTCTCGTGTTGGAGGAACGACCCATCATTTTTTTCGGGCGCGCAACGGTAGACCCGAGACCAGCGCCTTTGCTGCTCATATTGTTCAGCCGCACCATGGAGGCGCTTGACTGCACATTGTCGTCTCCATTGTTGTCTCCGGTGATCTCGTCCTCGTTGCCGGTGTTGGCCTTATCGTAGGTATTGGACCCCTTCGTCTTTGCGAGTGTTAAGGGTGACGCAATTACCTTTGGCTCCAGCCCACCTTCCTCCTCCTGCCGAAGCTTCTCCAGCATAATGTACACCTGCGGAGCGCGTCGTGCAACGTCTGGCTGCGACGATGACGCCATATCCAAGAGCTCCTTCGCCATCTTATACGATTTGCCGCAGCCATGCTCGCCCTTGAGGTACATACAGCCCTTCACAAAGTAGGCAGAGCCACATCCACGATCAACGGCCTGTTGAATCCATGCATGGTATTTTCCAATGCTCTTCAGCCCCTCCATTTGCTCGGAAGACAGCATCGTGGACGTTGTGCAGCCGCGGAGATACATCTGCGCAATAGCCAACATTGCATGGACACTTCCTGCCCGCGCAGCACGCTGATAAAAGTACAGTGCTGCAGGAAACATCGGAAGGAAATGGCGAGCGCCAGCATCAAACAGCTCACCAACCTTGAGATTGGCGCTGGCACTGAAATCATCATCATTCAGCGCACGCTTTAGAAGAAGGTAAGGTCCCCGTGGGGACCCAAGCTGGGCGTAGATGCTATACAGGACGAGAACGCTTTGCTCGTGGTTGTGATGGATAGCGGCGAGGCGAAGAAAGTGAAGAGCGGGTTGCACCTCCTGCTCACCTAAATGCTTAAGTCCCGTTGTCATGAGCTCATGGGCCGTCATGGCGCGCTCCTCCTCAGTGGCATACGCCTCTGCCTCTTCCTCCGAGAGCTCACCCACGTTGACACGCGCCTTGCGAATGTCAAGCTGCTCGATTTCAAGGAAAAGTGCAAGAGTTGTCGGTGCCCTGCGTTTCTCCAGAAGCACGTTGTGCAGCCGCAGCATCTCGTCCAGAATTGCCTTCTGGTTTTGCGCCTGCTTCCTCGCCTCGTCGCTGGTGCTGGCCTCCAACTCATTCGTCACCTCGAGTAGCTTCTTCCGTATCTCCTCCTCTTCGGTTTTGTAGTTTTCCAGCTCTGCCTGGATGAACTCCTTGTCGTTATTCCTTGACGCCGCGCCGACAACCTCCTCCGCTGCCTCCTCCAGGAGCTTTTCGAGGTCCTCCTCGTCGCCGCTCTCCTTCGGCGCATCCGCATCAGTCGCTGGGAGGGAAGGGTGCTGCTCGCGGAAGAGCGCGTCGAGCATGTCGTCCGTGACAAACAGCTCGTTGTCGAGGCGCATTGGCAGGTCGAGTAGGCACGGCCACACTGAAGGGCTCTTCTTGATCAGCTCCACTACGAGCAGCATGCCTTCATCCTCCACGCGCCACTCCACCTCCGCCGCGACCGAGTCAAAGAGACGCCACTGCAGGATCCCGGTGTCGCGGTGCCGAACACACAGTACCGCGAGGTCTTTAACCTCCACCGTGAGGTCCTTCGGCCGCACAGACTGCGGCAGCGTGATGGGGATACGGATCTCTAGTGCCTCCTCACCATCTTCACCTTGGGACCAGCGGCTCTTACCAACGCTGGGATCGCCGGACATCATCTATACTTTGCTTCCTCTACACTCGAAAGGAAATAGAAAGAAAAAAGGGGAGATAGATAGATATACAGCGTAGGAAAAGTGGGTGATGAACGAAAAGGATAGCACAGAACGCAATAACAAACCGAAGCATGTGTATGTGGGAAACACAAAGCAAGACAAAAGTTTTCTTGGTGAAATTCACAAACTCCAAAGGGACGCCTCTTACAAAATGTTCATAGTGAGCTTTTTGGGGGGGCCTACGTCATGGTATTTAGATGTCTCTTTTCACACTGCCATACATCTCAATTTTCAGGCTTGGCGATGACTACCACCTGTTTGCGGAAGTATGACTCCTTGATTGCCCACATCGAGACGACCCTCATCCCCGCCTCCTTCAAGACCGAGGCAAAGGCGTGTTCGTATGTGACTTGACCGAAATCGATAGTTGTAAGTAACTTTAGAAAGCATTTTACAAGCGGCGACACATAGAGCCCTAACAAGGTTGGTTGTTCAAAAGTCTGTGTGAACAAAATCACTCCATTTTTCTTCTCGTTTTCAACTGCTAAGGAGCCGTTCGTACCGAAGCCGCGCAACATGCGACAGCAGTACTTAAGCACCTTCACCTTGTTAGGCATAATCATAAAGCTACCGGAGAAAAAAATAACGTCAAACTGGGAACCCATATAGTCAAGTATGCTGGAATGTACCACGTTGACCTGATCGTTCAACTCGTACCAGTTAATGTTGTTCTGTGCGGCCTGTACATAATCTTCATCGTGCTCGACCCCAGTCAGCATGAGCTTTTTGCTTCGAATAATATCACGGTTGGCTAACAGACCAGTAGCAGTGCCAATGCCGACGTCCAACACAGTCGCATTCATCGGACACTGCAGCAACGCCTCCCGATACCACACTATCGTCATGGATGTGGTGATCCAATCACAAACGCTAGAACGGAGGTTCTTAAACCCTTCCAACTGGCTCAGCCACTGCATGGCCAAATTCCTTTTTGTTTGTTTGTTCTGCTTCGTTGCTTTAGTGGACGCAAACGGGAACAGTTGCAGCAGCTAATCGTAAGACTCAGAGAGAAAAAGAGTTAGGAAACAGAGGACGAGAACTACGAACACACGCAAAAAAAAAAAAATTAAGCATCAGGAAGGTTCAATGGCACTTTCGTTAACGCTATCAGTGCAAGTCACTTTTTTCGCCCTTTTATCACTGATCACGCAGTCGCTTCTGAGCACTGCGCCTCCACTGGTCGAGTTGGTACTCCGCGAGCGAGCGCTCCACCAGATTGGCACGCTCATTTGGCGTCTTTGCTACTGGTGGTGCGTTCCCCTTGTAGCCCATCGGAGCACGCGACATGCTCATTTCGTTTCGAGATTGTGGGCCCCGTCTCCTCTCGGAGAAAGGATGTGATCGATGCATGCAGATCCACATTGCTGCGCTCTCCTTCAGCGAGTAATCCCGCGCTGGAAGCCAACTAAGAGACATTACACACGGTGACTTCGTGCCACCCACGACCAGCACCCCACCATCCATGGACAGCGCGTGCAGCAGAGATCCATGCATGGCGGCGAAGTAGTATGTACTCAGCGGTGTCCCAGTAGTTTCCCCAGATGCAACAGCAGGTAAAGAAGAGTTGAAGCCACTCTTCGAGTAAGGTGGTGGATTATGCGATGGAGATGTGTAACTCCCACGGGGCTGGTTAACAATGTGCCGTAACTGGGCATCACTCGAACCATTTCTTCTCTCTGCATTTGATCGTTCCTGCTCACACAACAGCTGAGCGGCACCAATAACGCGATTCCCTGGTACAAGTTCCCCTTTTGCTGATAGAAGTGAAAAGGGGCAGTCGAGCAGAGGGAATGTCATTAGGCGCCAATTGCCACGGTCAACACTGTATATCCACACACTTGGTTCGTGGCAGCCTCCAGCTTCACCCCCAATAATGAGAATCGCCGTGAAATGTGGCAACAGCAGACTGCTGTGGAAAGCGCGTGGCGGCATTGAAAAGACAGATGGTACAAAAACCTCTCTCCAGACCCTTGTAGCACAGTTAAGTACCACAAGATCATTCAGATACGTTCGCCGCGCCCCGATCCCACCAAACACGTATAGCTCCTCTGATTCAACCACAACAGCGGAATGCCCGAAACGTGGCGGTGGCTCCTCCCCCAAAGTTTCAAGCAGTGTAATGGAGACTTTCCAGTTTGTCACGTCCACGTGAAGCAACCATAGTCCAAAAAGTGGCAAAGGGTCCCATCCATTCATACTACCGCCTAAATACGCATATGATGCTGTTATGGTCTCTCTTTCTACAATGGGCCAGGCGGTTAATGTGGCAAACACACGCGGTGTAGCCGTGAATGGGGCCAATCCAGTAAGAGGGCAATGCAACGTCCAGTGTGCCGCTGTTAATTCCGTGCGAGATCCCGGAGCAGAATGAGCGGCACTACAAGCAATCCCCTTGACCTTCGTATTTTCGTGGCGACGGAGCACCGTTATGCATAACCAAGGCTCGCACATCACCGAACCTCTTATACGCACGTCGTGCAAATTCTTGGGAACCTGATCGCTGAAGGCGCCACCAATAATCAAGGAAAAATGCAGCTCGCAGGTTGTACGATTCTCTGGTGAGAGCATCGCAGCAGCAGCGGCTTCCGAGATTGGAATTGCTACGGCAGCGTGTCCAAACCGCCGCGGTGGGGTTATCGCAATGTCCGCCATACCATCTAACTCGGCTGCTACAAAAGGATCTTCACCGGTAAAGCGGATTGCCGCCGCAAGAGACGCATCCAGCGCCACAGCCGACAAAGAATCGTGGACAGCAACACGGTTTACATACGCCTTCACGCGCAGCACTTCTGAAGAATTCGTCACTTGCCCAGCCACCACCACCGCACCTCCGTGCAGCAAATAGTAGACATCACCCTCCGTCTCACTGTTGTTAGTATTGTCATTCTCGCAGCAGCAGTTATGCTTACACAACGGCACGATAGCACTTCCACAGCGTCCAGGGCAGGTCTCCCACGCCGATACGTGAAGAGGGGACGGAGACGCGGGTGGGAGTGACGACAGCTCCTCCACATCATCCCTCTCCACAGAGGAAGCTTCCTCGCTCTCGTGCATAGGGTAGTAGTACACTGGTCGGTCATTGCCGTCGTACGCCTCGCGCTCCTCCTCGCTGTCGCAAGGGTCGTCGCGCTGGCGATAGAATTGCCGCCTCGCCTCACCAGACGGGAAGCCATCATAGCCGAACTGGTACCATCCCTGCATTGCCAACTCACCACTTGTCAGAACGACTAAAGCGCGTAAATAAAAATTAATCAACAACAAAAACACATACAACATGAAAGATGTGAGGTACACGGATTTCCACCACCTCAAACCCATTTCGTGCTGGTATTGTCACACAGTTCTTAGGTCTTTTTTTTTCTTCTTTTTACAGTGATCAGCTCTTCTTCCAGACAGACCGATGTAATTGCGATGTGTCACATCTTGCCTCTTAAGCGCTTGCGAACTGGTGTCACCGTTACAGCCCTTTCTCCAACTGGTAGCGGCAACGTTTGGAAAATCTTAAGCAGCAGACGGCTGGCGGCGGAGCCCTTGATCTCCTCCTCTGTCTTCACAAAAATACGCGACGAGGCAACGCCAAGCCTTTCAGCCAGCAAGCCGCACACCTCCTGCTCAACCGCCCAGCTACTTTTATCTTTTTCTACTTTAAGGCCTGTAGTATCCCCTCCATGATGCGGCGTGGTGCCACACCACGCCGCATGGTAAACAAGAACCCCCATGTCAATATGGGAAAAAATATGCCGAATAGAGCCTACAGACGCTACGGCCTTGTGCCCGGCACTCAACTGTTCTTTCAATTTCACGATAGTTTTCTCATCGTCATCATCAGCATTATTCTCCTTTTGTTCTTTCTCTTCCTTCTCTTTAGGTGCGGCATCGCAGGAGGTACCACAGATTGCAGAAGGAAACTCCAGCATCCCACCTAACAACCCGTTCTCAGGACGCTGAAAGACTACAAAGCGCCGAGATAACGGCGTCTCACCGTTTTCAACGTGACAGAACTCGTGCACTACGCAAAGAACAGTCTGCTTCTTCTTCTTCACTGTGGAAGCCCTCAGCGGGATAACCCCCTCAATGGCATCGATCTCACCACGCTCTCTCGCAGCGTAGGCTCTACAAAACCTCTGCAGTGGGCACTCACCACAAACCGGCCGACCGGCTGGCTTGCAGACCCTCGCGCCGATTTCCATCAAGCCTTGGTTGAAGGCTCCTGGCTCCTCAGAAGGCGCATCTTCCATTATTTCCTGTCCCCACTGCATCACTGCTTTGATGTTTTTCGCCACTTTGGGGTCAAAGTCTCTTTCGCATCGCAACCGACTCAGCACTCGCACTACGTTTCCATCCACAGAGACAACGTTTTCTCCGAAACAGATAGATGCAACAGCGGCGGCTGTGTAGGGTCCGATGCCCGGTATCTCTCGTAGTTGGGCTGCCGTTCCGGGTAGATTCCCACCGAAGCGATGCGTCACGTACTCAGCACCCTTCTTTAAAAGCAGCGCACGGCGATAATAGCCCATGCCAGCCCATGCTGCCTTGACAGACTCCTCAGAGGCTTCCGCCAAAGCGGCCACTGTAGGAAACAGATGCACCCACTTCTTGAAATAGGGAATGACAGTATCCATCTGTGTCTGTTGCGACATAACCTCCGAAACCCACACGTAATAAGGGTCTGGCGCCCACGAAGCTACTCCTCCTGTTGCAACACCGCCTACACTAGAAGTAAGAGAAGGATATTTTCGCCAAGGCAGGTCCCGTCGCTGGTGGTTGTGAAACCATTCAATGGTAGCCTGCTGTACCTCCCGGTGGCGGTTAAGCATTATGAGAGGTTTTTGCACTTTGTCTTTCGTCTCCGTAGAAAAGATTAGATGGGTATAAGCGCCGGATTTCTCACCAATGTCAGCATTCTTATCGCCATTACCAACACCACAAGTATTCATCCCCGTCATTCGGTAAAAAGAAATATAAATCAATAGGAGGAAGATAAGCACATTGAAAACTTTGAAAAAAAAAACAAATAAAGAAGTACCAAACCTATTCCAAGCAGTACGATTGAGGGAATCAATAAACAGGCTTCCGGTTGCAATGAGTAATAAGAACATTTAGGTCACATTCCGATTTGCCGTCATCAGATCAGGTCGCCTATCAGATTCACCACATGATCTTTGTGCATAGGATACATTAAGAATGGCTCATCATAAGCAACAATCTTTCGACCCTTCAGCACACGAAGCATGGCTCCTAAAGTATCACATTGCTTTTCTTCTCCTACCTTGACTAGCTCCTCATAGGTGCAACTGTCCCCACGTTCCTTGAGTGTGTCTACTATCCATCTCTGATGGAAAGCAGAAATCGCTTTAGCCTCCTCTGCCATATACTCTTCCACAATTCCTCAACGTTAAAAGTGCAACTAACTATACAAGATTGAGACTAGAAGAGTGAGAAAGGTACGTTCTTTGTAAAACAAAACAGAATAGAAATCAAGGGAAACACTGATTATCTTGCAATTATGGCAGGAGACATGCACATGCACACTGCACACAAACGGTGTACGCCTTCTAATTGACATATACATTTCTCCAGAGATGTCCATAAGACTCAGAAGAGTCGCGCACCACGCCAGATGGACGAGATTGAGAGAAATCAAACTCCACCACATGCAAATGCGACGCCCTCGCAGAAACAGAGGTGGGGACTATGTCCATCTGTCACACAGATCACGGTCACAGCTTTTATGACGACTTGAACAGGAGCACACCCATTTGCCCCATGTAGAAATAGACGTAATTATTTGCCTCGTGTGTGACGTAGCTTCCAAAATTACGTCCAACAAAGCAATTCCACGTTGGACCGTACTTATTGTCAAACTCCTTTTTAATGTGAGATGCCACCTCTTTCTCTGTGTACAGTTTCGAGAAGCCATCCTGTGCACAATGAATAGCGTAGTTCTCCATGTCCTTCGGCATCTCCACCAGCTTGATCGTCGCGGAAGGAAGCTGTGTCATGACTGTATCGCGTGAACCGCGTCACTGCCCCTTTTATGTTCCTTCTTTGTTGTTATAGGTAATGGATAACAAGATGCAAACAGCTTTCGCAAAAATGGTCTCATCCAAACAGCGTGTGAACAATCCAAAGTCAAGTTCCAGTTTCTCACCAAATCCCATAAATCGTTGTGTCATCGATAAGATAGAGAACAGTTACCACAGATAGAAAAAAGGCACCTTACGTAAGCACGAAAAGTGTTTTCTTTGTTAACGGATACTACCAAAAGGCAATGGATAAGTTTCCATGTGTTTTCGCACTCCACAGAAGTAAACAGACAGCAGTCACCAGGGGACTGGGAGATAGGTTCAGTCGCACTGACAGAGAAAGATTAAAGCAAAAAGAAAGCTGATAAGCCCAGCTGCGGCGCCTTAAGGATTCACAACAAAAATCTATATATGAGCCATTGTGGCGAAACAGAAGCACACCTGAAGCAGAAAGGCACAACAACAAAATAAGTAAAAAAAAAAAACTGTTTTGGTTCCGCCCTCTCGTATTTTGTCACGAAGGCACATGTGTAACTTGGTAGCTACATCTACACATTCAGAAACAACACGTCTAAAAATCCCTTGCATATTGTGACTCCGACTGCGACAGTTTAAAGAAAGCAAACGAAAGTCATGCGTGCCATATGTCTAGGAAAAGATCAGTGTTATGTTGTAGCAGATAGCCTCATTTCACCACACGGTACCACGTATTTTTGCGAACCATTATTCGCTTAATCAGGTCATCGTCCGGGTTAGAAGACGCAGGATCCTCCCGCTATATGCCAGAGAGGGTAAGTACGGATCACTGTCATGTTGTATTATCTCACGTCCTTCGAATGTGTGATCATCATACGCACGCACTCTAACAGTATCCTCACATCAAGAAGTCAGACATAATCTTGAATAGGTCTACCGTATGAAAAAGGGGCCTACCGAATCCAAACTAGTGGCCAATAAAATAAATGGATGGTGCCACTTAAACCGCGCCTGATTGATATCACCCATGTCCCCATCTCTAAAAACTTAACCGATTATGTCTCTTCAATCGGCGCAACATACCCGTGAGCGCCGATCACACTATTTGTGGAAACTGCTTTAAAACCTGAGCATCACAGCTGGTTGCTCTATGAAGAGAGAGAAAATGAAAAAAAAAACATTTAGGCAATTCACGATATTTCACCAAAGAAACAGAAAGCTGAAATATCCCCTCTAGAAGAAGAACTTTCAGTCCCAGCACCTGTCATGAAGCCTTCTGTCGCCACGAATTTCCTTTGTGAAAGATCGATTTTTCTTTCGTGTTGATGTAATGTACGGTTTGGAATCCTCTTTCGCCAGCTGTCATTTCACTCCAAACCATGTAATCAAGCTTCAGCAATGTAGTCACATTGGTAGTGGTGCAATTCGCACCCCAGTTCAGGGAAGCAGTCCCGATGGCTTCCAAGGACTCAGTGTGAGACAAAAAAAAATCGCAATCATTTCTCCCGCTATTTTCCCGAGCTTGCTATGTGATATATGCGCAGAAACCTTTTCACCTGATTTCATATGCAGATTCACCGTGAATTTAACTCGTTGTTACGGTGTTCAAAAAATCACCGCGTGCAAAAAGAGGGCGTAAAAAGACTTTGTTTCTGTTTGAAACGCGTAACAAAAAATCTCCTCTTCCCTAAATAGGAGCCGAAACACTATCTACAAGCTGCTCATGAAACATATGAAAACATTCCTTCACTTGTATCGTCTCTGCGCACGAAGCCACGACCAATGAGGAACTCCAATGCCACCTTTATTTGCTGAACAGAAGGTGTGAACTTAGCAAGAGACTCATCCCTGACTTTTTCAACAAGTTCAGTAAACGAAAGAACACCATTGGACTTAAAAATGCGGATAACAATTGCTTGAATCGCGGAAGATTTCATTTTATCCATTGCATCATAAGCAGCATCCACATGGTGCTTTGACAGCATTGTACTGTCTCCTGATGCAATCTGTGAATGCCCTTCCTCTTCAAACGCAAATAGCTCCAGCCTTCTAAGAGTCGTATTTGGCTTGGACCCAATGCGAACGTACTGATTTGGAATCAACGTCCGCAAAGGAAGAGCAGTCAACCCGGTCGCTCCATAAACCTCAAGAATACCTTCCCTTGCAAACGTATTAATAGCACACAAACAGATATCCTGATTTTTTACCTCCATTGCTTGCACAAGTCCAGAGAGAGACCATTCTGCATGACGATTGAAGCACTCCGTCAGAATAAGCTGTGACTGCCCTATATATAAATCAATACTCGCTAATCGTGAGCCCCTGGGAAAACTCATCCTTACCACACCACGAGAAAGTCGATGATTGTACACAATGTGACGTCTTGGACGCCTGTTTACAAAAAACGCTTGAAACTCACTCATCCAATGGGTCAAAAAAGGTGGTACTGGCAAAGGCAGAGAGCAGGGAGCATCTGGCCATGTATAGCTTCTGATAATAATCGGATGGAAAAGTCGCTTCGCGAAAGATTGTCCCTCTATACGGCTCGAATAAAACATATCACGCAATGCGACACTGTTCTCCGTTACATCACTCAACATCACCTCGCACCTGTGTACAAAATCGCTTGAACAGTCTTTTATCCGTGATATATGCAAAATAGCAAGGCGTTCATATTTTTCCTTAAAGTCATCAAACAAAAGCCTGGAAGACAGGTACTTCGGGTATGCCTCCAAGAATGGATTTTTCAGTGGAAGAAGCTGAAACAGGGTAACAATCTGTTTTACCACATATTCACAATGATCCTCTGTTCCGCAGGATTTCAACTCGGTGTCAGCAAGTTGCGCCAGCTCCTGTCCCAGCATTTTGGGGTTCTTAGCGTGGGCGGTATCGCTAAGAACGCTTGCAAGTCCACTACACATTGCTGTCATAAGACCTTCATTTTGATCAAATGCGGTTTTCACTTCTTCAAAGAACGCATGAACCGAAATGACTGCCTCCAGAATGGCCTTGTATATATTCCCATTGGATCTTATACATTTCTCACACCTCCTTTTCACTTCGTCTGTTCCTTTTTCAAAGACACATTTCTGAAAAGCATTCTTCAGCTCCGTCATTCCAGATGTACTCTTCAACATCAGACGATACAACCGACGCAAACACACAGCACTGTTGGTTAGTATCCAATCTGGCATGATTTCTTTCAAGTATGAGAGTTCGTCATTAATGAGAGCATCAGCAAGTCGGTGCATCACAACGGAAAGTGAAGACTTGTTCAAAAGACGATTGGCTCGCTCTGCCTCAATGTCAAATATAGAATTAGCTCGTTCCACATATGCAACTATCCCTTCTGATTTGAGCTGCGGAATTTTCTCTCTTGTGTGGTTATATAGCAACCCGACATACGGCTCCTCTATCAGCAATACATATAAAGTGTGTCGCTGATCATTCAGCATCCCTAGAGATTGCGATACCTCTCGTAACAGAGCACTTGTGGCATCATCCAGTTTTTTTCTTCTATCTAGATCAACATAGTCAAATATCTGAGTTGACAAAGCGTCACAGATTTCGCGAGTCGTAACTACCTCAGACCATTGAAGGAGAGCGACAGTCCCAGTTGGTAAAAGTGGATGCTCTGGAGGCAACCCATACTTCTGCCAAGGCCCATGAAGGTAAGAAAATACTACCTTGAGGTTATTTACCGCGACAATGAAGGTTTTCCAGTGTGCAACATAGGCCCTTAGTAAATTTGGTTGTGGTTCAAGCATAACTGCCCTAAGATGTTCAGCAACGGTGGAAGATAATCGCTTTCGTATTGTTTCACGCAGAAGATAAAAAACGACAAGCGCCTGTGTTCCTTCCTCCCCATTGCCTACGACATCTTCTTGAGCACCTGTTCCACGAACCAACTTGGGGCATTCTGTGCACCGAGCCGAAACCAATCTGTACACCAGTGTGTATGCACGTACAATCTGTTGAATAGCTCTTTGTCCTTGAAAATCCGACGATGTATCCCAGCCAAGAATAGTATTGCATACACTGTTCACTTTGGTCCAAAGAACAGTGAAATCAAAAGTTGTGGCAAACAAAGGTCCTGAAAAGGCACAACTAACGTTGCGGCTACTCTCATTGCTCGGCAAATTACGCATAGTATCAGTCTGGTATTCTTTACTTTCTCCTTGTAAAAATAGACACAAAGCAGAAACAAAAATAAAAAATATAGAAGAGATATTTTTTACATATATAAATGTCTCTCCCNCACACACACACTATATATATATATACATATATATATACCAGAGCAAGTAGCAGGTTTGAATTTAAAAAAGCTGTTCATCTGTCTCTGTGAAGTATGTTAACAGCAACCCTAATAGATATTTTAGGATGCAGCACACACACAACCACATCTCACCACTATGGGCTATGCAGATACACACATAAACCCCACCCAAGAAAACCCACCCATAGCCCTCAAAGTAAAAAGCACACGACGAAACCCAAACGCCACCCCACAGTCGACTCAAACACCTGCATGTGGCATTTAACGCCGGCATCGCCTTTGTGTCGTTTGGAGCCCCCCACCACAACAACAACAACACACACACACACACCCTCTTTCGGGAGGCACCTTTAGAGGAAGGTAAACAAGCCCCCCTTACAACACGAGGCGCGCACCAGCCCCGGCAACCAAACGACAACGAGCCCATTTCAAGGTGCCAGCCACATTTCATAGACGCGACCGCATCAAGTCCATTAAAGCGCCCCAAACGCAAAAAGAGAGGGACATGCGAATACAAAACGCAAACCCCCCGCCCGCCCCCAGAAGCAAGAGAAGCCCCACCTCACCAGCAAGCCTGCGACGGCAGCAACCCTGATGGGCCGCGACCCCACCACCAAAAGGCCATCCATCGCGCCCCCGGCCCCCCGAAAGGGAACGCGCCCCGCCCACACATGGCGGCGCCCGAAGCCAAAGCGGCCAAAACCGGAAAACGTTCCGGGGTATCGGCGGGAGCTCCCCTTGACCATGCCCCCTAACACAAACACCCTTCCCCCACGCCAAACCCTGAAGGCGCAAGTGGCAAGGCTGCCTCGCATTCGGCCTTTTGCCAAACCCTAGCCAGGCTATGGCAATCTGAGCCGCACCATTTTCAAAAAAGAAATAACATCTGAAAAGGGAACCCCCCAGCACGCCGGCTGCAAAAAGCATCTGTGAAATTATGCTTTTCAGTTCCTCCAGCAAAACCCCCTGGGGGGCGTAGCGCCCCTTATTTCCTTATCATTTTATTGATGGGTGGGGCGGGGCTTCCCTTGTGATTGAACCGCGCCGCAAAGAATTCACGACTTTTCTGAACGACTTCTGTTCCCCCACTGTTGCGCCACACCGGCCCCTGCTTTGTGCAAGAGCTCAACCCCACGGCCTTAAAGCCGCACAAGGCCCACTAATACGAATATTATCTATCCAAACGCGCATCGGTAACTGACGCAGTGGTATATGTCTCGGTTTTGCGATTTCTGAGGCTCCAGCCGAGCTCTCGCGTTAGTATGCAATATTTCCGAGCTAAAGTTATACCCCATTGGAAGCCTCGTAAACTCCACCAGCTCCCCACTTTCTGTACGACCCGGAAATTTGTGCGCACGTCTACTGGTAAGCAAACTTAAAAAAAAATGCCTTAGTACTAAAAATAACGGCTGTTTCATCACAAACTGCACCCGGGTAATGCAAGATATGCCGCATAGAAACCGAGTGTTCTTAATCTTTTTGATCATTTTTTTCTTTCGGCCAGGCATTGAAACACCACCTTGACACGAAGGTTTCCCCTCCGACAGTAAAAGACCCTACCCAACTTGTAGTGGGTTACACCGATATATATATTTTTTTTTGATAATGTCTGCCTTTTTCGCTATCTCCACGCCTTCTTCTGATACCCTCTAGGGGGGTTCCCGTGCCGCATTCCGCGAAAATGCGGGCTGTCGTATGGTTTCCCATAGCCCATTAAAAAGTACCAGGACCTTCAAATCGAGTTGAATTATGACCCAGTCAAATGATAGATTCTCAACGCCTACCTGTTGAAGAGGCAACGTTTGCTTACCTTCCTTAATGGCCACCGGTGCGTGGCAGCTGCGTCGCAGAGTGCTCTGCCCTTGAAAAAGCGGCCTGACATGTTCTTGTTCTCTTTTTGGAAAAACCCACAGCAACGCCACCCATTACGCAATGCCATCCACATGTGTGCCGCCATCTGGGTCGACTTGTTCACGAGAGCGACCCAATGCCCTATAAAGTGGTCTGTGCTGCGTGGAAACTCTAAATAGTCTGCGTGTTTTCCCAACCGGGTCACAAGTTGGGGGTCGGGATCGCGTTCCATCACTGCTACCGCCTCAGGGGCCAGTGGCCATTCTTTTCAGTGAAAGCGCCATCATGCTGTAGAGTCGGAAATTTTTTTCCAAGTTTCTTCTTCATAGTTTTCTTAGCCCGCCCCCTTGCACCACACCGTCGATTACGGCTTACACCTTTTTCGCACCTCCCCAATCGATAACCACATATCTCTTTCCTTCGTTCGAATTAATTTTAAACTTTTTGGGGAGAGCTCCCCAATCCATGATCAGGGCTTTATTGCCTTTTGGTTGTGGTATAAAACTTTCCGTTGGGGCACAGGGATTTGCCCCCCCCCCNCCCGAGCTGGTTGTTACCCATACCAGTCGTACTGCGGCCTGGTCGTTTTCCAGGGTTATCAAATTGCTGACGAGATCTAACCACCACCTCTCTATAGGGTAGGCCTGGTTTTGGGGGGCTTGCATTGGTCTTTTTTCTAAACCTGCCAACAACATTTGTGCCGGTGCCTCCTAGCGCCTAGTATGGCTAACGGGGTTCTTATTTATTGGTCCGCGCTGCTGTTGGCTAATTGCAGACTTCCAAGTAAAAGAAGGGAAACATTCTTCCCATGAACCTCTAAATTGTTACTTTCCTCGAATTTGCAAGATCAACTCATTAAGGACATTCTTTGTTCCCAAGTTGAATGTATTCACATCGTTTCGGCAATTCGTTTACCTCTGAAGCCAACGCCAATAAGCACAGTGCGCCGGATGGTGCTTGGGTAACTGCAACCTCGTTTGCTAGTGTTTTGAAAAATGGACGATGTTGTTGTGAGAAGCTCCTTCTTTTTTTTTTTTGGAGGGGGG